AATACTGAGAGGAGGAAAGGCCTCCTGCGCTCGGAGCCCCGGCATTGCTCCAGCCGTCGGGACGGTCGAGCGCTCCGCACCAAGCTCGCCTTATTGCAGGAGAGGGCAGACCAGTGGAAACGCACTTTTCAGCCCGCTGCCAATCACAGCCACCTTTCTATTCGTGCTTCCTAAACAGAACAAAGCTCCATGACAAGGCGGGGAGAGCGCGGAGACAAACGCACTCATTCTGGTGGGAGGAGCGGCGTCACGGCGGAGCTGGGCAACAGAAAACTCGTGCTTTGATGGTAGTCCGGCTCTCTACCCTATGTGCTTGCTCTTTCCTTAATTCCCACACTGTGACCCCTGCCCCAGCCAGCTCAGCCCCGCTCTGCGGACACAGAGCTTGCCGAAGTCACGTCGACAGTCACTGCAGCCGCCCTCCTCTCCCTGACGCACGTGGAGCACCTGACCCGGCCCAGCCGCCTCACTCCTTCCCTAGCCTCCCAGGCCCTCTGCACTCTCCTCAGCTCTCCAATACCTACAGTGGGCTCTGGTGGGTGCCCTGCAGTTCAGGCCAGACCCTCCTCACAGCTCAGACACCCCCTCCACTGTGGGCTCGCCAAGTGGCACAGCTTTCCAATTCCGCACATGCACGGCCCTGCATCAGGGGCTTCCACCCGGGCCTCCCCTCTGAGCCGCCGCTCACATTTCCGCTCTCACTGCCACGTGTCCAGCGCTGAGATGCTGCCTGGGATGTAGGAGGCCCCATGGACATTCACTGTAAGAAAACCCACGCTACCACATGGGACGTGCCAGAGGAAACGGCTATGTAAAGATTAAAAGCTGGGATTTTTAATATCATCACCAGGTATAGTCTCATTAAAAAATGTTTATTCAGTGAAACTACACAGCACTAAAACGAGCGCTCCCCAAAATGTAACCAGCAACTGGATCTAACTAGGGAGCTTCAGATTTTAATTGAAAGATATAAAGTGTTCACTTGTGAAAAATTTACTGCTATTAAAATAATTTTTAAATTAAGAATTTTAAAACTACACATTAATAGTGAAAGCAAAGGAGCAAACTTACTCACATGCTTCAACACAAAATGTGATCGTTTCATCTGGCTTCCTACTAGAACCCTTAAAGCAGCCTCCTCCAAGCAAGTGCGGCCAGGCTGAGCCAGGGGACAGACGCTTTCGGTGGAACATCTGTCACTCTGAGAACAGCACCACTCTTTTGGGGACAAGTCCATCACTGGAGCTCCCCAGCCTCCTGGAAGTCAGGTGGCAATGTCCAACATCCGAACTAGCAGAGCCCAGCACTTCAGTGGGGGAGGACGGAACGGCTGGGATCCTCTGCTGAGAAGAGGCTCCTCTCCCCGAGGGCAGCTCACGGTTTCCAGTCACAGATGGGTTGCTGTTAAAAGGTACTTTGCTTTGTATAACTCAAGAGAGTATTAGAAAATCCTAGCCACGAGAGGTGACTACTGAGAATCACCTCCTCTGTTTTCTGGCTCATGATTTTCCTAAAGCAAAGCCTCAGGCTCCCAGCTTCTATTTACATCCGGATGTAAAGCCCCAGATCACTCGGGCAACCTGCTTCCATTCATGGAATTCTGGCCAGCCAGTGGCTGCTGCCTACATAAGCTTTTCTTCGAAAAAGCTTCTCTCATCACGGCCTTCCCTCCACCCCTATTTTGCCAAACCCCCAAATCTTGCAGATTTGCATCCAGTGTGAGCACGGACTGTGCTTATTCCCAGAAACTAGCCCCCTGCTTGCTTCTTTGCGTTGACATGCGCACTGCTGAGAACAGCCAATCCAGAAAGCTATTAACTGGTAAGCAGGACACAGAGAGATTCAAAGTCAATTAATGGCCAAAAAATGGGACAAATGTCAAGCAAGACAAGAGCTTCTTTCACTTCTGCTGTAGTAGAGAAACCAACACGAATTCAATTGAAGCAGCGTAACTGAAGGTCCCTGGGTCCGCCTGTGGCCTGGAGGTGGCCGCCTCTTTCCCTGCTGTTCTTGCCGCAACACCTGGGCAGAACACGGAGGCTCCATGGCTGCCTGGTGGACAGCAACCAGCAGCCTGGCAGCGAGGGGCTGGTGAGCTGCTGCTGCTACCGACCCAGGCAACCCCATCTTGCTGAAGTGGTCCTAAGTAGCTGCATGTAATCTCTCCTAAGAAGCTCAATGCTCTTAACAATTTTGTTATAACAGTTGATGGAACAGAAAGATACGTTAGAAAAAAACAAGGACTTTCTCTTCAATACAAAATACTCACGCCTGTAAACACATACCTGTGTGAATAAAATCTAGACACAAAACCACACTGCTGCAACAACGTGATTATTTCCTGATCTCCAAAGCACTGAGAAGTCCAACATGGAATCTTGGAAAATGCATGATTATTTTGATCCTGGTTTGCTGCTGTTGCTGTTTTAGTTGTAAGAGCTTTCGTGAGACGAACTCATGTACTGCTCTGAAATAAGGAAATCAGGGCATCTCCTCACCTCTTCTTGAGGCTTCAATGTGGAGAGAAGACTTGGACAGTGTTTATTAGTCTTTCTCTGCTGAATACGCATATCATTGAAAACACCAGAAAATGAAACAGATGAATGTCCTCAGCACTACAAATTACACACTTCCCATTCCATCCAGGGACTGCAACCGCACAGGGTCAGACACAAACGCAAGGGGCAATCAGAGCACCCGAGTCCACACCATGCCGACACTGAGCCCTGTGTGGTTAGACAGCTCTGCCCCTTGCAAGGGCAATCCTGACCACACGGCAGACCTGCCCTCTCACTGCTGAGGACACTACCCGTGCCACCACCAAGGTTGAAGTAAACAGCTAGCTCTTTGCAGCCAAAGACATTAGGAACAGCTAAGATAATTAAAGATGGTTTTCTTTTTCTTTCCTCCCCTCCGCAATGGGTTTGTGAGGTGCTTAGAGCAAAAGATACTCCATGAGTGGCCCAATGCCCAGCTGTGCTTTCATTTCATGATTAAAGCTGTTGGTTTCTTAGTGAAATGCAAAACTTCAGCCACTTAAATCTGGACTCCAAAACTCCTGGGAAACTTTATTTTCAATTCTTAAAACAAGGAAGGCAGGGAGAAAGGGAAGGGAGGAAAGCAAGGAGAGACGGAAGGAGGGAAGGAGGAAGGGAAGGGAGGAAAGCAAGGACAGATGGAAGGAAGGAAGGAAGGAAGGAAGGAAGGAAGGGAGGAAGGGAGGAAGGGAGGAAGGGAGGAAGGGAGGAAGGGAAGG